GATCTTTGGACTCAGAGACTCAGCCCCGTTCCAGGAAACAGAGGAGAACCTCAACATGATAGGCGGCCAATTATTCCCCCAAGTCCACGTTTACACGGTTCCCCCTAAAAACAAAAAAAAACCAAGCCCCCAGTTTCCTGCATGGCTGCTCCTCCTCTGGCTGATTCAACCCATCAGATAAACAGCCAGCAGCTGCAGGAACAAGGACCTACATGCAAAACCAAACCCGTTCTCCTCTGGCTGCACAACATTAGACAAGCCTGGGGCGGTGATAACGTTAATGAATATCGCCATGGCAACATGAGCCGTTATATATGCAGACTGTCTTACTTCCATCGGCTCTCATCTACGCTTCCATCCCTCTGATTTAACTTTTTGATGGACATCATGGTTGCCCCCAGTAGACATCAGAGACTGTCCCACCAGCTCATTACACTTGGAATAAGTCTGCTCCAAGGAATCCTTCATGGCTCTGATATCACAAGCTGTGATATCACCATGACGATTCCATGCCTTGCCACTGTAGGTACCAGATCTGCTCGGGGTCCCGCCCCTTCTTATGACGTCAATATATGGCAACTCCACTCTGACAAACTGTATTGCACCCGTTTCTTAACCTTTCCTATATTTGCTTATATTTTACATTTCAATGGCGATCTAAATTAGCCGAAAGTAGAAAACAATCATCGTCAGTCTGGAAGGAATGTACTGACTCAGCTAAGACTGAGCTCTGCTGTTTAACAGGGTGACAAAAAAAGTCTCAGCTTATTTGTATTCTTTTGATTAAGATCGGAGGGCAAAGGAGGACAAAAAAAAAAAAAACTTTCGTAGAGATTTTAAAACAACAGTTATTCTACTTGTAGAAATTGAACAGTTGAAACAAAGTTAAAAGAATTGTAGCGTAATATGGCCGAGCTAAAAGAGGCTAACCTGTTAGCTACTGGGCACAGCTAGCCACAGCTCTTTATGGTCTAACAGTTACTTTGTTCACCAGAAACAGATTTTTCAGATTTGTTATCGATCAGGTAAAACTTCTGTCATTAGACAAGCTAACGCTACAGATGCTCCCGGCTCGGCTCACGGACGCTGTGTGATGTTATCGTCATTGTCTGAGCAACCACAATGTTTTACATCATGTGACAACGTTTAGCCAATCCTGTAGCGTAACGTCGCTGGGAGGAAGCAGGACCAGAGCAGATCTGGGAGCTACAGCGGTCGTTCATGTTGAACCAGAGTTATCAAAGCCATTAGTCCAGATCCAGATGAAATAGAGCTATGCAGCTCTAAGAACTCTGACTGCATGTCTCTGCAGCATTAAGGCGACTCTGTTCTCTGGGAAGCAGGAGGCCCTTAAAGCTGTGACAGGGAGAGGTCTGGGACGAGGAGCGCCGCCTCGTCAAGCTCCAGGTGAGTTTTCTAACCTCCGGCTCCAACAGGGTTTCTATTCCAGACAGTAAAGTAGAGACGAAGGACAGCTAAAGCCAATCAGGAGCGGTCAGGACCTGCCAGCTGATCTGCAGCTTTAGGAAGGCAGCTTTAATGGACTGATGCTCTCCTCACACATTCCCATTTCTAAGCCAGTCTAACCCTACCTGAGCCCATCAGATGTGACCGTCACCTGCTACTCTGACGCCGCTACCAACACACGCCGTCTGGGAGACAGGGTTCGGCGTGTCCGACGTCCCAGACGCCGGTGAGGAGGCCCACTCTGACATCAGACAGATTGCTCTGCATTAAGGGGAATCCAAGCGGCAGTTTGCTTTGAGTTCTGCTTTTAGATTGAAAGCATGAAGGTGTTGATCATCTACGAAACAGTTCAGCTTCCTTCCTCTTCCATATCCAGCAACACCCCCCCCCACGCTGCTCTCTTCTTTAGCCACCTGACAGCAGACGCCTCCACTACCTCTGATTTACCTACTTTACAGACCCAGAGCGAGTTAAGTCCTGCAGGGGTCCACAGATTAAAAACAACAAAACCTAAATAAACAATTGCTTATTGTAAACAATAAACAATGCTGATCAAATGGTTCTGGAAATGCCCAGGTCCCGGTACGAACAGCGGGGCGATCGTTCCTTTATGGCACCTGAACAGCCTGGTCTGCATGTTCTCACAGAAATGCCCCTTTTTAAGTCCAGATTGAAGGGGAACACCGGTTCTTTTACATTGGGCTCGTTGATTTTCTGTTATTCCATCATGTTCTACTCACCCATATTAGTTTTGTGTCATTTGGAGCCGTTCTGAAGATATTCTATTAGTTTATATCCAGGTAACGTCTTCCTACGGGCAACGAGTTGAAGGCCCAAACTAAACTCTTCATCATTTATTCTTTATGGTACGCCAGCATTCAGAACATCAGATCTTAATAAAAATAAACTGAATTATTTGTCACCTTGTTAAACAGGAGAGCTCAGTCTGTCTTAGAAGACTTTCCTTCTAGACTGACAATGACTGTTTTCTACTTTAGATCACCAATGAAATGTCAAATAATAGCAAATATGTTTAATAATATGGTAAGAATCCAAAAGAGATTCAATCCTTAAGAAACAGGTGCAATAAAGTTTGTCCAAGAGGAGTTGCCATATATTGACATCATAAGAAGGGGCAGGACCCAGAGCAGATCTGGTACCTACACCCCCCCCCCATCCACCTTCAACCAGTGCGCCTTCCCCAGCTGCCAGTGAGACATCATGGGGGTGACGTTTGATGGTTAAGGGTTAGTGCTTAGGGAATGGTTTGGGATGCAGCCACACAGAGCTGCGCTGTGCCAGTCTAGAGGTAATCAAAGCGTTTATTCACCTGTTACAGCCACAGCAGCGAGGCTTTGATTTAGCCAACTGGATTACTACACTCATTTCTTTATAGAAATCTTCCAAGATCCAACAGCAGAACAAGCAAAGACCTCAAAGGATCGATAGCATCAGCAGAGCCCATCGGTCGTCCTGACAACCATCCGCTCTGCTTCCCATTTGGATGGAAGATGTCCATCCAGGTTTCTGCAGCTACCTTTCCATGAACATTACCAGAATAAGCTATTGGACTAAAGTCTGTTCTGTGGGAATATTCTGATCGGATTCAGCAGAATCGGAATGAAACTGTAATCTAGCAGAGAGGTGGGTTATGCTGACTGGCATGCATGTAAACACACCATAAAGTTCATCCAAAACAGGCTTGCTGACCTCCCTGGGTTTTTATTTCCTCCCTGATGTTATCAGAATATCGCATTCCCATCAGCCCCACCACACCTTTTAGGTCCGACTGGCCGTTTTAATCAGAGCGACTATCTATGTCTATATGGACCGACCGTGAAACTTTGTGCAAAGAATTTAAAACATTCACCAGATTCTGTTCCGATAGGTTTCAGTTTGAGCTTTTTAAAACCTTGCTTCCCTCTGGCACTTTGAGGGTCGGCTTAACTGTAAAGTTTTATTATTTCTCAAAATTAATCCCATATATACTTAAAACAATAAAAGGACACTTAACTTCCTAAATATAAATCTCTAAGGAAGCAGATAAGGGGTCGAAATTAGACGACCAAAGGAATTCAGTTCAATTCAGTTTATATTTATTCATTTCTAAAGCACCAATTCACATCACATGTCATCTCAAGGCACTTTACAGTTCACCAGATCATCCAGTCAGATTGATTCAAAGTTTTCTATCTAAGGAAAACCAGCTGATTGCTTCGACTCATTGACTCTTCAGCAATCCATCACACTAAGCATGCTTGTAGCGACAGTGGAGAGGAAAAACTCCCTTTGAACAGGAAGAAACCTCCAGCAGAACCAGGCTCAGTGTGAGCGGCCATCTGCTGAGGCTCACTGGGGTTCAAGGAGACGGAAGCAGACATAGAAAAAGAAGCAGATGATAAAAGATTGTGACCAAAAGCAGCAGTAAGATCAAGACAGATCCTGAAAAACTCCATGGAATGAGTTTATGTGCCGAGAGATTAAAAATGATCACATTAACTGGTAAATAAATATTGGAGTCTAAGTTGGTCCGCGCCCTATTTAAGCCCAACCAGGCCTTGCCTTGTTTTTTAGGATAAAAGTTTAAACAATAGTATTTCTCTCCAAGGAGCAGACTGATGTTAATCCCACATTTAGATGGAGTTTAATTGAATACATATATATATATATATAAAACATGATTATTCAATATAAAAAGGCCCTAATTAGACCATTATATGATGCAAGAATGACCCCTGTACCATTTTTTCACCCTCTAATACAGACGGTAGCAGCAGCAATACTTTCAAGGGATATTTTCAAACTTATTAAACATTTTAATTTTTCATATATTAACAATTACTTGTCAACTAAAACGATGTGGTTAATTATTAACATTAATATACTAACATTAAAGGTTTTTAGAACAAGATTTTGTGTAATTTGGGGTAAAGAGAAAATGATGCATCTCTGCAGGTCATCAAGGAGTCGTAAATACTTTTATAATAATTATATAAATAATAATAATCAATTTAATGAAGATATTAGTACATGCAAATATTACTTATGTGACGGAACAATTTTTGATAAAAGTAGGTAAGTAATGACAACGGAAAAGATGTTTGCCCTTGAAATTTGGTCCAAAATACCTTTTAAACAGCATAGATGTTTAAATAAATGCGTCTATTATTATGTTATGTTATGTTATCAAAGGCTGCAGGAAAGTAAAGTTTGTCTTTATTTACAAACTATGGATGTTGTGCTGTTGGAACAGTGTGCATTGCTTAGGGCCTGGACACCATCATTAACATTTTCTCACATGTTTATTTTATTATATTTTTTATTTTATCCATAAAACATGGAGATCCAGCTCCTGAAACCAAACAGATTTGATCTCAGGAGTTTCATGTCAACTAATACATGTCTGAATTGCAGAAATGTCCCGTCAGAGACAGAGACATGTCCCCGGTCAGGTCCAGCAGCCTTGTGGCCCCCGGATCACCGAGGTTCCGGTTAGCCCCCCTCCCTAACAGAAGTTTCCTAATGGCGCCTACCTTTGATGGGCCGGTCCACAGTAGATAGTTTGTTTTGCTCTTTGGCCGACATCCTCTCTGCTGGCTGCCTGCGGGACGCGGAGCCGAACCCGATGATCCGAACTGGACAGATTCCTCAGCAGCTAGCAGGCTAGCTGGGCTGGGCTAGCCGCGCTAGCAGCGGAGCGGCGGGGAGGACAGCCGCACTCAGCTGGACTCACCCCGGGGAGGATGGGAGGAAGGGGCCGGCGGAGGCAGCGTTTCTGTCCAGCTAATTGAAGCCGTTTCTCGGCGCCGCGGTGCAGAAATGCCGCGCCGCTGTCACCGTGTGTGCGCGTCGGATGAAGCGGCCCGGGGCAGCACCGACCTCTGGCTGCAGGAACACGGCGCCGCGCCTCAGATCATATCCCGACGTGATCCTTTGATTGTCAGAGCAGCTGCATCTGTCACAGGCCGCTGCGCTTTGGCTTTTTATCGTGATCCGATGTGTCGTCCAGACCCGCTGTCGGATTACAATAATCCGCCGCAAGCGGATTTCCTATAACATGGCTCGGCGCGGGGATCTGTGGGTAATGTAGTATCAATGTCAGCTGTAGGCGCCGCCCGCGCGGGAGAGGCGGAGCCAGAAATTTATTATAAGGGTGGCCGGGAAGGGGGCAATCTACAGTACACTGTTCCAGCAGGAAAATGACCAAGCACAGCGTCCATATTTTCTAAATAAACACAAACTATACTTCCCTACAGCCTTTGTTAACAAACAGACGCATATATTTAAAAATCAGTCTAGATAAAAGGTATACTGCAGGAGTAAACAATTAAACATCAGAGAGGTCAGAATAAAGAAAAGTAACAACCAGTAAAGGTCCGGAGACATTTTTAACTTTAATCTGTTAATTTAAACAGAATTTAAGACTGACATAAAATAAGGTGTTTATGCAATTATGTTATACGTTGACTTGTTCAAATAAAAAAAAAATATTTAAAAAAGAAAAATTTTCCATTTTAAAATCTAAAGTGTTTTTTAAGTAGAGAACAACAATCCTTCAGTTTGGTATATAAACAATGTCCTGATTCCCATATTTTCTAAAAGACCTGAGCTGACTGTTTTTGATTTTTCTTTTTTCTGTCTAAGTGAGAGCAGTGTACGAAAAAAAAAAAGTTAACTGATTTTTTAATTTTATTTCAGTTTAATATGGGAAAAAACTCAGAATTCTGACTTTAATCTCAGAATTCTGACAGCTAACAAACATGTTAGCATCAAGCCATAGCCATGTCTGTTTTAGAGACTAGCTCTCTTATTTTAATGACCTTCTGCTCCATTAATGAGGGGACCCCTCGGGAACGTAAAAAGTTTCCTAATTCCGTCATTTTACACCAATGTTTCACTGGCCACCTCAAACAACTCACATCTTTGTCAGTGAAGCTGATTGCTCCAACATCTCTGCCTTCATGGTACCCATCTACATTAAGATCCAAAATTCTGAGATTAAAGTCAGAATTCTGAGAAAAAAGTCAAAATTCTGAGAAAAAAGTCAGAATTCTGAGATTGAAGTCAGAATTCTGAGAAAAAAGTCAAAATTCTGAGAAAAAAGTCAGAATTCTGAGATTGAAGTCAGAATTCTGAGACTTTTTTCCCATAATAAATTGAAATATAATTAAAAAATCAGTTAACTTTTTTTTTTCCAGTGGCCCTAACCCTCTTCCATAGAAGTGGGCTTTAGGCTGCCCTACAAGGCTTTAAACCTGGGTTTAAATGGAGACTAAGCCATTCTCAAGCACATATCAAGGAGCTCATTTTGAGCCTGGATCCAGATTTATTGTTGATTCTGTTCATGGTGGAGAATCCTGCTTCACAGCAGCAAGTTGAGCCAAACATCCTCTAAATGTGCAGGGTCATCCTTGAGCACGCCATTTCACTTTTCTTTCACCAGTTCACCGCAGTTCTTCCAGCAGTCCACACTTTCTCTGCTCTCTTTTTCTCATCATCTTCTCCTTCTTTCCCATCGCCCGGCTTGCCACAGGTTTGCCTGCTGTGTCTAAAAGTAGCAGCAGCAGCAACCCAGACTGACAGCTCATTGGCTAATGGATCATGTGCAGCCTGGAGCCGGACGCTCCCCAGGGCTTTACCGTATTAACAGGAGAAGAGACGCAAATGAAGTTAGACACTGTCGTTCAACAACATTCAGTAATTTATAAATGTTTTAAATCAAGTTGGGTCTGGATTAGCCAGCAGGTGATTCGGGATCCGGACCGCGTTCCTCTAATCCATGATCTCTGCTTTAAAGGCTGCATCCTCCATGGACCCGATCTATCTAGACTGGATCCTTCGAAGTCCATGAAAATAAGGAGACCTGAAGAGTTTTGGCTGTGAATTCAAACAGGTCCAGCCTTCCCCGGCTTTCACCGCTGTACTCTCTGTTGCCTAGCAACCGTGATAGTTGACACACAAAGCAGGAAAAGAATGACTACTGAACTTTTTACTACTGTCTGTTTTTATTTACTTATTTTCTTGTATTGTAAAATGAACAAAGACTACACTCATGAGAAGACAGAGTGGAATAAAGGTGACAACCACCGGGAGCATAAACAAAAAGCAAATGTAATGACAGAAAAGGGGTAGAAAGACATACGTAATTTTAAACAATGTATGTATAAGAAGTTTTTTAGTCCGTGAGGCAGACACCCTGTCTACTTTTAAGGCTAGGCTTAAAACTTTCTTTTTTGATAAAGCTTCTAGTTAGAGTGGCTCAGGTTATCCTGAGCTATATCTCTATAGTGATGCTGCTATAGGCTTAGACTGCTGGAGGACATAGGGACCCCCATTTCATCATTCTGCCTCATTCTATCTCTATTCTCCCACTCTGCAGAATCTGTTAGTTCAATCTCTAATGTTCTGCTCTCTCTGCTTTTCCTCAGAGTAGCTTTGCCTCGTCTGTTCCTTTTTGGCTGTAACTCCATCCTGGAGAGAAACATCAGCTGTGCTGCTGCCATCATCACCCTTGTTTGTAGATGCTGGAGATCGGCCTGTTTTCCAGTGTGGTCCTGTTTCTCTGACCGTGACTAACTGGATGTGCTCTCTTCGTCTTCTGGCATGGGAGCTGGCCAGGAGCTCGTCTGCCTGGCTGTGTGTTTCCTGGAAGGGGCCGTCTTTTAAAGCTGCTTTTTGTATCTCTGCTTCTGTCTCCTTGAACCCCAGTCGGCCTCGGCAGATGGCCGCTCACACTGAGCCTGGTTCTGCTGGAGGTTTCTTCCTGTTAAAAGGGAGTTTTTCCTCTCCACTGTCACTACAAGCATGCTTAGTGTGAGGGATTGCTGAAGAGTCAATGAGTCGATGCAATCAGCTGGTTTTCCTTAGATAGAAAACTTTGTATCAATTTGACTGTATGATCTGGTTGGACTTTTTTGTTGTTGAATTTTTACGGAATGACTATGACCTGGATGACTGAGAACCTTCATCAGCATCTGGTTGGACTGTAAAGTTCCTTGAGATGACATGTGTTGTGAATTTGGCACTATATAAATAAACTGAATTGAATTGAAAATACACTACAGTTCAAAAGTTTGGGGTCACCCAAACAATTTTGTGTTTTCCTGAAAAGTCACACTTATTTACCACCATACGTTGTGAAATGAATAGAAAATAGAGTCAAGACATTGACAAGGTTAGAAATAATGATTTGTATTTGAAATAAAAATTTTTTGTTTTTACATCAAACTTTGCTTTCGTCAAAGAATCCTCCATTTGCAGCAATTGCAGCATTGCAGACCTTTGGCATTCTAGCTGTTCATTTGTTGAGGTAATCTGGAGAAATTGCACCCCACGCTTCCAGAAGAAGCTCCCACAAGCTGGATTGGTTGGATGGGCACTTCTTGCGTACCATACGGTCAAGCTGCTCCCACAACAGCTCAATGGGGTTCAGATCTGGTGACTGCGCTGGCCACTCCATTACCCATAGAATACCAGCTGCCTGCTTCTGCTCTAAATAGTTCTTGCACAATTTGGAGGTGTGTTTAGGGTCATTGTCCTGCTGTAGGATGAAACTGGCTCCAATCAAGCGCTGTCCACTGGGTATGGCATGGCGTTGCAAAATGGAGTGATAGCCTTCCTTATTCAGAATCCCTTTTACCCTGTACAAAACACCTCAAACTTGGATTCATCCGTCCACAACACTTTTCTTCCTCTGTCCAATGTCTGTGTTCTTTTGCCCATCTTAATCTTTTTCTTTTATTGGCCAGTCTCAGATATGGCTTTTTCTTTGCCACTCTGCCCTGAAGCCCAGAATCCCGCAGCCACCTCTTCACTGTAGATGTCGACACTGGTGTTTTGCAGGTACTATTTAATGAAGATGCCAGTTGAAGACCTGTGAGGCGTCTGTTTCTCAAACTAGAGACTCTAATGTACTTATCTTCTTGCTCAGTTGTGCAACGCGGCCTCCCACTTCTTTTTCTACTCTGGTTAGAGCCTGTTTGTGCTGTCCTCTGAAGGGAGTAGTACACACCATTGTAGGAAATCTTCAATTTCTTAGCAATTTCTCGCATGGAATAGCCTTCATTTCTAAGAACAAGAACAGACTGTCGAGTTTCAGATGAAAGTCCTCTTTTTCTGGCCATTTTGAGCGTTTAATTGACCCCACAAATGTGACTCTCCAGAAACTCAATCTGCTCAAAGGAAGGTCAGTTTTGCACCAAAAACCAGACTTTTGCAGCTAGAATGGTCATTTACCACATATTCTTTAAAGTTAAGACTAGTTTATAGATATCTTCATTGAAATCTCTTATATTCAACCACAAAAAAATACTTAGTTAAGCAAATTGTACAAAATAGCAATTGAAAAAATTAATAAATAAATAAAGCTATTTAACAATCAGATAAAGATATTAAAAGGAACAATAAATTCACTGAAAAAGATAAATAATATGAAATGTAAGGGTGAATTAAGAATGAAATTCAGACAGAAAAGAATAGTCTTTTAGTTTTGGAAGCAGACATTTTCTTTAAGGGCAAATCTTCTTCTCATATCATGACCAACAACAGCATCAACCTGTATCATCTACCAGGTGTGAGGACAGATCATTCAAGATCAAGCAGAAGGACGTCATGGCTCTCTTGACAAGTGTGAACCCACACAAAGCTAAGGGACAAGACGGACTGTGAGGAAGGATTTTAAGAGAGTGCCCAGCAGCTTGGAGAAGTATTTACCAGACTTTTCCAGCTTTTTATAGATACAAGGTCTGTTTATAATAATCCCCCTCCCCAAGACTGCAAGGGCCAAGGATATGAAAGACTTCAGGCCCATCGCATGGAGAGCGTTATGTGCAACCATCTAAAGCTGATGCTTCAGGGATCTCTGCACCTCTAACAATCCGCATAGACTTCTCGAATGCATTTAATACGGTAAACATAAGCGCTCTGCTCACATCTTTCTCACCTTGGAGTAAACGCCGCCATTATTCATTGGCTGAAGGCGTTTCTTTACAGCAGACCTAAAAGTCAAAGTAAATAGTTTGATGTCTGACAACGTAATGCTAAATATAGGATTGCCCCATATTACGAAGGGTGCATATTATCTCCCTAGTTATTTTCAATATACACAAATGAAATCAGATATGACGCAGACTGTAACATTGATCAAATATGCCGCCGACATGGCCTTGGTTGCACTCGCATGTCTCACCGATGTTCATTCAATGCCGCTCTATGTGAACGCCACAATCACTCATGAAATGGTTTCAGAACAGTAATCTCCAGTTAAATGTAAATAAAAGTAAACAAATGTGCCTCATGTGGTCAGAAGATTTAGATTTCTCTCTCTCATATATTAGTTATGCTATTTATCAAGTGAAAAATGTTTTTACTCAGTTTGTTTCACCTGCAAGGCTGAGCAAATGTCTGAGTGAGGGATGGTTTACTTATTCCCACAAGCCAAAGTCCTTCTCAAGGTTTGTTAAAGTGTGTATAGTTAGTTTTGACTCTGACTGGTCGATCTATGTTCCTACCCTCACCCATGGTCATGAAATCTGGATCATGACCGAAAGAACGAGATCCCGGATACAAGCGGCTGAAATGAGCTTTCTCAGCAGGGTGGCTGGGCTCTCCCTTAGAGAGAGGGTGAGGAGCTCGGTCATTCGGGAGAGGCTCAGTGTTGAGCCGCTGCTCCTCCACATCGAGAGGAGTCAGTTGAGGTGGCTCGGACATCTTTTTCGGATGCCTCCTGGAGGCCTCCCTCAGAGGTGTTCCAGGCATGTCCCACCGGGAGGAGGCCCAGGGGACGACCCAGGACACTTTACAGTTTTTTCGTCAAGGGAGACAAACTCATGTCTAGTCAGAACAGGGCAGAATGCTGTGCCATAAGGGCTGAATGATGAACTGTTCACTCTTTGCAAAGATATGAACAAATGTGCCGACTGAGTGAAATCCATCCATCTCCGTTTATTTAACTGGGGTGAATAGTTGAATACTTTTTTCCCACTACACTCAGCAGCCAACAGAAGCTGGAGCTGTTTAAACCACTTCAATTAAACCGACAGGATGTAGAGCAAGTGGACTCTTTTAAAAACTTAGGAATAATCCTGGACAATTGTTTCCAATTTAATGAACATATTGATTGTATTTACCATCCTGGAGAGAGATATCAGCTGTGCTGCTGCCATCAACACCTTTGTTTTTAGATGTGGGAGCTCGGCCTGTTTTCCAGTGTAGTCCTGTTTCTCTAACTGTGAATAACTGGATGTGCTCTCTTTTTATCCTCTGACATGGGAGCTGGCCGTTTCCTGGACGGGGCCGCCTGTGGAGCTGGTTGACAGTTGCCTTTTGTATCTATGCTTCTTTTTCTATGTCTGCTTCTGTCTCCTTGAACCCCAGTGGGCCTCAGCAGATGGCCGCTCACACTGAGCCTGGTTCTGCTAGAGGTTTCTTCCTGTTAAACTCAACGCGATTTCTGACATTTTTAATTGAAAACGTTCCCTGGACGGGAAGCAAAATGTCTTCAAACTTGAAAACAAAGTCCAGTGGATTGTTTTTTTTTTACTTTTTGGAATGAATTATTTGTAGGATATTTTCATAAAGCTGACTCAGTCAGTTGGTCTGGGTTATTCTGTTGTAATTTGGTTTTCCTGAAGCTGGCGCACTCTGAGCCTGACTTGGTTACTATGGCATTCCACCCAGTGAACTAAACTTGGTGGGGCCCGGTTTAGAGGCAACAAAGGTAAAACTATGTGTCTGCTTTGTTTAATCCAGCAGCAGGGGGTACAATAAGTGACTGAGAGGGAATTGGTGCCATCTTTTGGCCCAAATGCAGTGTCATCAAAAACAGAACAACTTATAATCTACATATTCATTTTCTGCAATATCATATTATGTGTAATATTTTATTCCAGCAAATATATATTAATGCACAATTGTGGAATTTAAAAATTAAACACACAAGAAGGGTTAATTAGCTGAAGCACCAGAACTGGAGCTCAGATCAGATCCCACAGAACCGCTCCAATCCTGTCCTAACTGTTCCTCAGACACTTTGCACAGCCTGCAAATAAGCTGTATTTGAACAACTGTCATTATGAACACATAAGAAATCATACATTTGTGATATGCTTTCCATTTCTGGCAGATACCTTAGAGTTTTAAATTATGTTGAAAGCCATGTTTCTGCAGGGTTAAAATTCCCTGTTATATCTGCTCAACTGCCTCAAAAAAATTAATCTGAGAGAGTTATGTTTGTTTTATAAAGTGTTGATTTGTGTAACTTCTAAGGGGATGGATGGATGATGAATGGCAGAGCATACTTCCCAAACAAGCCAATGACAGTGAGCTGAATGTCCTTTATTCAAATCAAAACAGGAAATGGAGATGCTTTAAAGTCTTCAACCACAGTAGTGCATTTGGGAGGTAATCTGGTCCATGGAATCTGACCAATCAGGTTAAGCATTAGTTATAATCTGTGATAAGGGGCAGGTCCGAGAAGTGGATTAAAGCAGCATAGAAGGCTCTAACAACAGGAGCTCCTGTATGAGAGAACGTCCAGAGTAGAAGATGGAGTCCCCTTCTTCACCCGTCCTCTTCTGTCTCTCACTGGTCAGCAGTAGCTCAGCTGCAGGCCGAGGCCCGCGCCTCCAGGAAAACGAAGAACCCCAGGGAGTACGCAGGAAGCTTCAGATGTCCAGCTGCAGGTAGCCGAGCACCGCTAAGATCGGGGAGAGTTTTATTGTCCACCATCTTCAACAGGACTCCATTCAGCTGCACAGACCTAGAGGAAAACACATAAGCCTCCTTGAAGAGTCGCCATTATCCTGTCATTCAATGAAGTGAAATCTGTATGAGAGATAATACAGCTGGGAGGGATGAAAAAGAAGCTGGACCATTCTGACAAATGCTACTCTTAAAGGGCCAGAGCGTAACAAGAAGATGACTCCCTGAATGAAAATCCTCTTAATAAGGCCGATGCACCACTAGATGGCGCCACACTCCTGATCAGCCACATCTGCAGGACTTTGTGAAGGACTGCTGCTACCCTACAGATAACAGTCTATCTGGGATGCAGCTAAAAGCGCAGTGCATCATGGGAAGGACCTCTGACCTGAGTCAGCTTTAGAGTCTAACACAAGCGCTTTAGTTCTGCTGACATCAGCGAGCCGTCGCAACCAGAACGCAACCATGTGGCTAATCCTGAGGAAGCACCATGCTTAGAAGGAGAATGCGCTGATCTGACTGCTGCCCTGTGTGTGGCGGTGGCGGATCCCAGTTTCACCATTACGCTTCTTCACAGACTCTACAGAACAGAATGATGCGGGCCCTGAAACAGGGGCGGAGCTAGATGGGGCGCCATGGGGTCCCTACCATTTTTTCCTACTAATACAGACGGTGGCAGCAGTAATACTCTGAAGTGAAATGTTCTAGCTTATTTAACATTCTAATTTTCCATATATTAACAGTTACATGACAACAAAAAGTCTGTGGTTAATTATGCTCATCAATATACTAACATAAAAAGATACAGAATTCATTCTCTTTTCACAAATAGATTGTCTTATGGGGTAAACAGAAACTTATATCTTTACAAATCACGAAATCAGAGATAAATAACTACTTAAATAATACTTAATCAATTAAATGTAGATATTAGAAGATTGAAATATTAATTTCATGCAGAACTATTATTGATCAAACTATGTAAGTAATGACAATGATTAAGATGGCCGCCCCAAAACTCAAACTTCAAAGAAGAATTTTCTCCATTACACCTTTAACAGCATGGATGTTTAAATATATGAATCTATTTGTTAGCAAAGGCTGCAGGAAAGTATAGTTAAGCCTGATTTATACTCAGAAACCGGTCGTCTGTGTGTCGCAGTTAACGCAGATATTCTGGTGCACCTCTCCAAAATTGTAGGTGACCATAAACAGATAGGAGGCCTCTGATTGGTCAAATCTACATCCGCTCTACACTATGCGTATTTCCTGTTTGGTAACTAATGGCTGTAGTGCCGTCCACAACGCCTGGCACACCTGACACTAAGCCAGACACCGTACAGGACGCTAGTTCATATCTCTGTGCGACTTATGTTGGTTTGCACCCGAAGCCAAAACACGCAACGCCACGGCCAGTTTTTGGGGAACACTGACGGGTGAACTGTGTGTCGTCCCGCGTTGGATGAGCGGTTGTAGACAAGCTCGTCAAACGGACACACGGACACCCACAATCCTAGCTAGTTGCTGATTGTCCCTCTTGCGTTGTGGCGTGGAATAACGTAGCGCAGACCATGCTTCAACATTGGAAATTAATCAAAAATATCTGCGTCATACCTGTGACACACTGCAGTGGGAGGATAAACAGCCCTTTAGCCTTTATTTAGAACATATGGATGATGTGATTCCGTAAAAGTTTCAAAAACGATCCACTGGACTTGGTTTCCAATGTTTGAAGACGTTTCGCTTCCCCTCCAGGAAGCTTTCTCAATTCAAAGGTCTGGATCCGCAGTGAGTTTGAGTCTTTATATAGACAAAGCCTTGTATCGCTTGGAAACATGCAAATGGAAACCGATGAGCGGGTGGTTTGGTTCTATTGTTAGCCTGTAATACCTGAAACCTGTCTATGATTCTGAAGGTTGGTCGTTAAAGGAGGGATTGTTCACCTGGCTGAAGAGGGGAGGTACTTTGTCCCTCTGTGATCACGGAGGAACAAAGTAAAGTTAGAAACAAAGCCCAGTGGATTGTTTTTAAACTTTTACAGAATGACTATGACCTGAATGACTGAGAATCTTCATCAGCATGGATGATGTGGTTGATCATTTTCCTTTTAGAGCATTGTAGATTGACCCTGAGGTTTCGGCACCTATCCACTTTCGGCCACCCTCACTGTACATTGGTTATTGCCTGGCCACCCTTATTAACAATTCTGGCTACGCCTCTGCCCTGAAAGCACCTTAGATGTGTTCTCATCCACACCCACCCATTCCTGAAAGGATGCAACCAATGAGCTTGAAATCCTTTTCTTCTTCCCTTTCCAATGTACAGCAATCATCACCAGGGGCGCATTTAGCAAATTTGGGGCCCTAGGCAAAGAAAGCCAGAGGGCCCTCCGAATTTAGACGACCACAGAAAACAGACCCATTCTACAGATAGGGAGATGTTAATAGAATAGACATCCATTATCTGTTCTAGGTTGTGTCCCTCTATTCTTGTCCCTTTTCTTCTTGTTTTCCTCTCTATGTTTTGTACTCAGCTGACTTTTCATGCTGTCTCTAAAGGAATGAAAGATTTTTTCCAAGCACTAAGCTCACTTAGCTGATTGCTCCTTCCTGTGTTTCCAAAAAGGCGACGGTAAAACTCTGCTCTCCAGAGCGAGTAGATTGGTAACCCCGCCTCCTGCTCTCCTCTATCTTGTCTGCTGTCATGATTCATGCAGCTATTATTTCATCCAAATGAAAAATGGAGAACAGATAAGCAGATCATGGCTTGTCTACAGTGAAAAGAAGGACTGGGTTATTTACTTTGGCCTTTTTGGAAACACAGGAAGGAGCAATCAGCTAAGTGAGCTTAGAAGAAGTTTTCTTGCCTTGAAATTTGGATCAGGGAAATTAAGGGTTAAATGTTCAAAAGAGTTGTAGGAATTAATTGTTTTGGGAGTAATCAGTAAGTCAGACTGGAAGATTGTTGCTACTCCTCCTCCTCGCCCAGAACTTCTGGGGATGTGAAAATTTAAATAGCTTGAAGGAGTTTCCTCATTTATGCTCACATAATCCTCTTGCTGCAGCCAGGTTTCTGTAAGGCAAAACAAGTCAATGTGATTATCACAAATCAAGTCATTAACTAGTAGACTTTTAGAGGAAAGCGATCTTATGTTAAACAGACCGCATTTAATTGTTTTAACTTTTTCCCCAATTGGAGTTATTTTGATTTTAATTAGATTATCATGATTTACTCCTTTGGGAATCTTTGCTAATTTATTAGATTTTGGTCGTGGGCAAGACACTGTCTGGATGGAGTAAAGAGTGGGTAACAGTAGAGAAGCTGCAGAGATGTGTGTTAAACTACAACTCTGCTTCCTGGTCTGCACCCTGGGTGGTCAGGGTTTTGGAGGACTAATAAATGTGGCCAGATTCCTAGAAAGAAGAGCTGCACCATCCAAAGTGGGATGGATGCCGTCTCTCCGAATCAGACCAGGCTTTCCCCAAAAGGATTGCCAATTATTAATGTAGCCCACATTGTTTTCAGGGCACCACCTAGACAACCAGCGATTGAATGACGACATGCGGCTAAACATGTCATCACTGGTCAGATCAGGGAGGGGACCAGAGAAAATTACGGAGTCCGACATTTTTTTGGCAAACTTACACACCGAAGCAACACTAATTTTAGTGACCTCCGATCGGCGTAACCGGGTGTCATTACCACCAGCGTAAAATTTAAATTTCTGTATCTGTAAAATGTGTTGTCTCCTCAATTCAGAGGGCCCTCTGACTGTTTTTGCCCAGGGCCCCGAATTTCCTAAATCCGCCCCTCCCTGACACTAGTGTAGAAGCTGGACAGAGAAAATAAAGGAGGAAATGGATGTTTTGCTGCTTAAAGCCGCAGATTTGATTCATTCTTCATAGGAGGGATTCTCTTGAATAAGTTCAGGGAGTTTCCTGTGAATCAGAGAAGTCAAACAAGATGCACATGCCCAGAGGCACCAAGTCCAAATAAATCAGATCTTCCCCGTGACTCCATGTCCCTAACTTAGAAAATAAAGGCAGCATTGAGTGAAGAGGCACCTGGACTCCAGTCCTTCCTCCCCCAGCTGGTCTGACTGGAGAACAAAAGTGTCCACTGTGCTGTTGGCGATCAGGTCAGGAAGGGAGATCCTGGCTAGCTTCCTACCAAGGTTCATCCACAGCAGAACCACGGCGCCTCTGGCGTAACTGCAGACACACAAACAGGGAGATGACAGGTTCTCTGCCAAGCACTCTGATTAGTTTTTGTTTGAACCCATGTTTCTGTAATTACCTCTTCCTGTTGGCACAGTGCAGATAAAGCCTGACTCTTTTATTTCTGCCAGAATCAGAAACGTTCAAAACTTCTGGTCCAACGAGCTTCTTGTAGAGAAGCGACAGCCAGTAATCCTGGAAGGAGAGCCATGCTTCAGAACACAGCCAGAACAAATCACATCCATTCTAACGGACCTTCTCTTGGTATTTAGAGGATTTTAATGCAACTAACAAACACAAGGAGCCTTTTCCAGCTTCTATAGAAATGATAAAAACATCATCTACAGTCTGATAGTTCCGTAAAGATCTGGACTGATAAGCCCTGAGCGTCTTAGGGGCAAATTCCAACTGAAATTACATATGTAAATTAAAGCAAGAACAGCTCCCGAACGATAAATTGGAAATACAATTGTATGTATTTGTGTGATAGAACGGTACTGAGGAATACTTTTCAAGTGAAATCACTATTTTAAATGTCACCATGTCTGATTTATAGGTGATTAAACAAAGAAAATATAAAAAATATTTAGTCTCGCCAAATTTTCTTCCAAAATAAACACTGAAAATAACCATGAAAGCCCAATCTCGAAAAAGAGATTTTATCTCAAGGGACTTCCTGGTAAAATAAAGGTTAAATAAAAATAAAATAACATTTGAAAGTCTGGAACCCTCAGACTCTATAGAGCCACATCTTGACTATAAGTCAAGCAAATTTGGACTGAATAAGTTGGAGCATGTTTGTTCCACAAAGGTTTTAGTGAGCAGTGTGCTAGGTAGAAAGTGTGCTAGGATTTTTGCAAAATACCAAAAGTGCAAAAATGTTTTTTTTTTCCTCTCTCAAAGGGAATCTGGTCAGACAAATATGCTGATTTACATGATTGGAGACCTTCTGCACAAGAAAAAGCCTTTGCTAGTAAGATTTAGCAGTTGTTTCATTGAAATTTACCAATAATATCACCAAACTGAACAGAAAATAAGAAGAGTAAGCTGATGTAACCCACAGCGGGTACATCACCTGAAATGGTCGCACAATTACCTCCGACATGTCAGCTGGAATTTTAAATCTCATTTTATTTGTTTACACAGCTACAAAAAAAGGCATTTGTCAAAAAATAATTTTAAAACATGTTTTAGAAATGTTAAAGCCCGATTTTAAAGGCGTGTGGATGAAACACCATGTGACTGTGCTTTGGCCATTCCTATAAATAAACATGAGCAGGTGTCAGTTGGGCCCTGTAGAAGGTTAAGGCCTGAACACACCGACTGGTGCGACTTTTTAATCTCCAATCCCATTTTTTTCCCGTGGCTCACTGACCGCCTTTAGAGAGGCTCCGACTGCGCAGGGTGAGCAGATCTGTACAGAACAAGGTCATCTTCTCCTTCTTATACCTCATGAGTCTATGTGTTGGATCAAGTGGATGCTTAGTTGTCTGTATCAGAAAATGACACGCCATCAATGCCCTGACCTGTATGCGTCTTGCCTCTATGCGCCAGGATTACAGATAGCTTCCATTTATCAGACCGGCTCCAAGATGAGGATCAACATTTTACTATATCCTTTTTCTGTCCTCCTGAAGTTGTTTTATTTTTGAAGGAGATTTATAAACTGCGCTTTCTGTCCCTTGTTTTTTTGCGAGACCCATGAAATTACTGCGTAGTCCGACTAAAATAGACTTGGGGTCTATCTCAATCTGATCTATGCTGCCCCCTGCAGGAAATCACATCGGGTGTGGTCCCCCATAATACCCATTGACTACACGCCACGACCTTGTCTGACCGATTTTCTGTCGGATCTGACGTAAAATTGGATGTTCTGGCCTTTAGAGGTTTGGTCACATGAGGGTTCTTACGAGCAGCTCTAGATAGATAGATCTATGTTTTGTGGTTTTGTGGTTGTTGTTTTTGGTCCCTTGTTGAGAGATGAGCTTGGATCAATCACAGACGCAGATTAAAAGCAGAATAATGGTCCGATTCTGAGGAAACGGTCTTACAGGAAGAGGATCCAGGTTGTCATCGATCAGGTGGTAGCTCCCAGAGCCCAGCAGCACCTGCCTCATCACCACCTCCAGGCCCAGTCTGGCTCCCAGGCCCAGTTTATCCAGCCACCTGCACACAGATCCACATATCTCTGTATCTAATCCAACACCAACCCGACAACATTCTGAGCAGCATCAGCAGTCTGCTTCAATGATCATCAGAAAGCTTAGCATCGGATGCTTCCTGTAGCATTCTCTGCTAACGCTTTTAGCTGAATTGGTCAACAATTTTCTGTTTTGTTGGGTTGTTTTCATGCACTGCAAAAACAATCTAGAAATAAGTTGATTTCTTAAATTAAGTGTATTTAATTGAGCCGGTAAATAAGACGAATGGAATGAGTACTAACTAGATAATAATATGCACTTAAAAAAAGAATATAAATTTTTTTCTTCTTTTAATGGTCTTGTTCCATTGACAAAGTGTCTCACTTACCTCCTCAGTTCCATAGAAAATGACTTATTTAGATTTACATTTGTCCAGTGTGCAAAATATGGAAATTTAAAATAGTCATTTTATTTTAAATAAAAACCATCTGTTTTGTTTTTATTAATTGAGGAGATCAATGAGACACTTTGCTAATGGGCAAGACAATTTACATTCAAAATAGGGGAAAAAAAACTGCAGTCTCTCATTTCTAACGCGGCGCCGATCTCTGCCACTCCAGGTTCGGGGATCTGAACCCGAGTCGTGGCGTTTGCCCATCCTTTAGACAGACTGACCCATGTTAAACTGCTGTTCACATGGAAGCCTTCTCCACTTCGGCCTTCAAAGTTCTCGTTTGAATATTTGCTTCTACCACCAATTGAATGATGATTTTAAGTTATTTCCTTTCCTTTCTTGGTGAACTTTAAAAGTTCACCAGCCTTCAACTTGTCCAGATGTGAGTCGACTCGGCCTAATTTTGTGAATGGGCTAGTGTGGAGAAACCTTCCAGCAGAAAAACACCCTGAACATCCAGCTAGAGATAGAATGAATGCGTTAGAATAGCCTAGTCGAAGGCCAGACCAAATCCAACTTAATCTGGATCACACTGATCCAGATCAGCATCATGGCTGAATGGAAACCCCGCCATAACTGTTGGTGACTCACATAAATCCTGAGACGAAGGTGTCTGACAGTCCCAGCGCTCCTCCTCCATAGGCTGAACTGGTCTCTCCAAGCCACACCGCCTTCCCCGGAGACTCCTGCTCCACTTTCTGAGCCACAGGAGGAGCAGACAATGAAACATTTCCTTCACCGAGCCCTGAACGACTCCACTCTCCATCTGATCAGCTTACCTCTAGGACTTCATTGGTTTTCACAGCCAGAGTGTCCAGAACTTCAGGATCCAGAAAGTCATCTAATGAAGTGTCCCTGCCATTCACGTAGTAACTAAGAGACATAGAGATGGAATGAGTCCATGCATGAAGCAGATTGTCCCTCCTGACACCCATCAGAATCATTCTGACTGTTTCCCAGCAGCCAGACTCCAGACATAAAGCAAACAAGTGAACAGACCTCTGACTGCGTCACTAACTCTAAAGCAGAGTCGTTAAACTGGGGTTCTCTAGGTCCCTGCACTTTTCAGACTGGTCCCTCGTCCAACAGACCTCAACCATGTGGTTTAATTACCTACTGAGGCCCCTGTCAGACCTTGCCGACTTACCTGTAACGTATGAACCCACATATGGCAAATGCTGTATGCCAGCATATGCCATATGTACTCGCCGTATGTCAATTAGAAGCACGTGTTTCAGTGTGCCCAGCGTACAGCAGCGTGCTCATAACTTATACAAAATGTACCCATAACTTATCCAACACATGCCAGCCTTTTTCCCATATTTTCCATACAGCAGGCATACGCTGGTCTAAATCGTCAAGGTGTGACCGGGGCTTTAGAATCCAGTGATGTTCTCCAGAGTTTTGCAGGAAAACCCATCCCTTGTGGAGCAGTTTCTGCTTCTTTTTCTATGTCTGCTTCTGTCTCCTTGAACCCCAGTCGTTAAAAGGGAGTGTTTCCTGTCCACTGTCGCTACAAGCATGCTTGGTGTGAGGGATTGCCTTCGAGTCAATGAGTCAATGCAATAAACTGGTTTTCCTTAGATAGAAAACTTTGAATTTGAACTTTGATTTGGTGAACTGTAAAGTCCCTTGAGATGACATGTGTTGTGAACACAATGGAACAATCAGGGGTTAGCGATCCGATCAGCGGTTAGCAATCTAATAAGGGGTTAGCGATCTAATAAGGGGTTAGCAATCCAATCAGGGGTTAGCGATCCGATCAGGGGTTAGCGATCAAATCAGGGGTTAGCGATCCAATCAGGGGTTAGCGATCCGATCAGGGGTTAGCGATCCGATCAGGGGTTAGCGATCAAATCAGGGGTTAGCGATCCAATCAGGGGTTAGCGATCCGATCAGGGGTTAGCAATCTAATAAGGGGTTAGCGATCTAATAAGGGGTTAGCAATCCAATCAGGGGTTAGCGATCAAATCAGGGGTTAGCGATCCAATCAGGAGTTAGCGATCCAAACAGGGGTTAGCGATCCAAACAGGGGTTAGCGATCCAAACAGGGGTTAGCGATCCAATCAGGCGTTAGCGATCCAATCAGGGGCTAACGATCCAATCAGGGGTTAGCATTCTAATCAGGGGTTAGCGATCCAATCAGGGGTTAGCATTCTAATCAGGGGTTAGCGATCCAATCAGGGGTTAGCATTCTAATCAGGGGTTAGCGATCCAATCAGGGGTTAGCGATCCAATCAGGGGTTAGCGATCCAATCAGGGGTTAACGATCCAATCAGGGGTTAACAATCCAATCAGGGGTTAGCATTCTAATCAGGGGTTAGCGATCCAATCAGGGGTTAGCGATCCGATCAGGGGTTAGCGAACAAATCAGGGGTTAGCGAACAAATCAGGGGTTAGCGATCCAATCAGGGGTTAGCGATCCGATCAGGGGTTAGCGAACAAATCAGGGGTTAGCGAACAAATCAGGGGTTAGCGATCCAATCAGGGGTTAGCGATCCGATCAGGGGTTAGCAATCTAATAAGGGGTTAGCGATCTAATAAGGGGTTAGCAATCCAATCAGGGGTTAGCGATCAAATCAGGGGTTAGCGATCCAATCAGGAGTTAGCGATCCAAACAGGGGTTAGCGATCCAATCAGGCGTTAGCGATCCAATCAGGGGCTAACGATCCAATCAGGGGTTAGCATTCTAATCAGGGGTTAGCGATCCAATCAGGGGTTAGCATTCAAAACCGGGGGATTAGCGATCCAATCAGGGGTTAGCATTCTAATCAGGGGTTAGCGATCCAATCAGGGGTTAGCGATCCAATCAGGGGTTAGCGATCCAATCAGGGGTTAACGATCCAATCAGGGGTTAGCATTCCAATCAGGGGTTAGCATTCTAATCAGGGGTTAGCGATCCAATCAGGGGTTAGCGATCCAATCAGGGGTTATCCAAAGCAGCTCTCTAACCACCAGGCCACTTGTTACTCAGGGTTCGTGGACTTGGACCAAGTTTCTCCTTCAATGTTTTAGCTCATGCAGATGCTGCGGCGCTCAGGGACTCACTGGTGCCAGGTGCAGGCGTCGATAGCGTCGGCTCCACCTTGAAGGAAGCTGCAGAAAAGATACATGAAGAGGAGTTAGACTCTGAACCACATGAAGAGCACACAGGTTCAATTCCACCAGTCTGTCTGAAAGGAAATCAGTCAATATTTATAATGCATAAGGTTGTACTCTAATTGAATAAAAAGTACTTGGTAAAGCTGTTATGTAGCAATTGTTGGCTCATGACATCTGCTCAAAATAATATAATCAGATATTCCAGAGTATAAAACAACTGAAAATGCCACATCTAAGATTATTAAGGTGTGCAGTAAGATCATGGGTGTGCAACAGAAAAACTTGACTGAAGATCAGGTAATCAGGAAGGCCGAGTCCATTTTGGATAATTATACCCATCCCCTAAATAACGAATTCCAGTTTCTACCCTTTGGTTCCCGTTTTAAATATCCACCAGTTCGGACCAACAGATACAAACACTCCTTTATTCCCTCTGCTGTTCTACCAGAGAAAGCAGATAGCCATATGTTGCATGCATTCAGGCCTATGCTCTCATTCATCCCCTTCCTCTCTCTTTTATCCACCTTATTTTTATCTTTTTAAAATATTTTATGTGTTTCTCCTTTTATTTTTTATCTGTGATTTGTGAATGTGTGTGTGAAAGGTATACTACTACTGCACTACTACTATGGGACAAATAAAAGCTACTGAACTGAAAATATAATAATTTCTGTCATACAAAACACTTTTCTAAATGACATTTTCCAAAATAAAAGTATAAACCTTTTTACTGTAGGTAATGCATAAATGTCAGGGAAGCATAAAGAACTTTAGGCTGCAATATCTGCAGCTTTCCTCCATTTTCACCTCATCTGTCAATTACTCAGATATACTGGTGGTTGGTGGGGAACTGGAACACTCAATCAGGGATGGTGAAATGTTTAAACCTTTTTACATATATGAAAGTAAAAAGTAGCTTTAAGTATAACTACTCCCAAAAGTATTTTTTTCAATTTTCTCAAATGTAATTATTTATACCTCTGATCTTAACCCATCTCCTTGGTGAGCAGTGGGTCGCCACCATGGGGAGCAACAGTGGAAGCAGTGTGTGGTCAGAGATCCAGTGTGCCAGCTGTGGGAATCAAACCGAGCACTTGCAACCTTCTCAGAGCACAACGCCCTGCTCTGACCACTAGGGCAACACTCACCCTACAACCTACTGAGCAGAGGAGGATCTAGGGTTCTAGGAGATGAGGGGCTTAGCCCTCAGGGTGAAGATGAGAGAGTAGACTTTCTGCTAAATCCTGTTATAATGTAAAATATGACAGATTATTGGATTAAAGGAATTTCTAGTATCCTACATGTAGTATCCTACAGGCTATCACACATAACAATTCCTCTATTAATCAACAATTAAATCTGTGGAGTTGGTGACATTTAATCATTATTTGCCAGAGTTATTAAAGGGCAATCATATATTTTAGCCGCCTGATATAATCTGTTCCCCCTTTTAGGATCTTTCTACAATTTATTTTCTGATTAAATGTTTATCTAAAATTTACAAATATTCCCCAAAAAGTTCAAACCAAAAATCACTGGACTTTGTTTTCCAAGTTTGAAGATGTTTCATTTTCCATCCAGAAAGCTTTCTCCATGCAATGGAGCAATGCTATTTTCATTTCATAAAGATCATCAAACCAACAGTCGTATTTATTTGAACTATTTTGGATTTCAAAATATAAAATAATAAATCTTTCAAACATAATATAGAAAAATAATTGCAGTTTCAAAATTCACAGGATTCGTTACTGTATCCCATGTTATGGGGGAACGGATTATATCAGGAGGCTAAAATATATGATTCCCCTCTCATAACTTTGGCAAATAATGATCAAATGTTTCCAGATCCACGGAGTTTGTTGTTGATGAAGAGAGAGAAATAAACACAGTTAAAATAATTCAGGTAAATTAACTTCTTCCCATGTTATGGAACGGATTATTTCAGGCAGCTAAAATATCCATTCTCCCCTCTCATCCTTCCAGATCTTTGGGAAATAAAGAGCAAATGTTTCCAAAGTCTAAAAAAAAGATTGTTATGTGTGAAAGCATGTCAAATACCAGAAATGTCCATAATCCAGTAATCAGTCATATTTTACATTAGAAGGGGATTTACCAGAAGGTCTACTCTCTCATGTTTTTGAGTCCAGTTTCCATCCTCTAATATCCGCAATGACAAATGATAAATACTCACTACGTGTTGAAAAACTGTGTTTTGTGACTGACTTTTATTTCTGTCAGGCTGAAGGGACAGAAGCTGGAAAAAGACAGATTCTCTTGGCGCTTAAAATAACAAAACAAAACAGCTTAAAAAGGATCTCGTCTATTTATTTATTTTACAATTTTATAGAAAACAGCTGCAGATGGATGTTACAACCTTGGTATGAACATTTGAGTTGTTTTTAGCAAGAAATCGATCAGAAGCGCCATGAAAATGGTCCCAGCCACCATGTCCGCCTCTCTGGCTTCAATGCGTGGAGAAGAAAGCAGAATTTCATCGGGACAAACAACGTCTGCAAGTCGGTCAGAGCTTCACATCCCTGGGACATCAGTCCGTTTAGCAACAGCTAGTGGTGACAACTTCCTCCTCTGCAGGGGAATGCTACAGGCTGCTTTCCTGCACATGCTGCTACTTCTGCTACCCTCAAAAGTGAGATCCAGGACTCTGGGGAAAACATCCGGGGCTGCAGCCCCCTAGATCCGCCACTGCTACTGGCACATCTAAAGCCATTTTATGGATCTGCTAACCTTTAATAATCACTATTTATTGGAATGATAACATCTGAAGCGGCTGCAAGTAGCCACTTAGTATTGACTGTGTAAAGAAGAGAGACAGAATCAACATGAGGAGGATCCCCATGACATGATGAACAGGTTTAAAAGATTGTTTTTATCCTTCATCTTTGTCTGCTGCCAGATGTTTTCACCTAAATAGATACATTGATTCATTTCCATTCAAGAAATAAACCTGTAATGATTTTTGTGGTCACAACAGGCAAGCCGTTTTGATAAGTATTCATTAGTGCTGTCAAAATTAACGTGTTAACGCGAGATGATTAACTTCTGTAATTAACGCAATATTTTTTTTAACGCATTAACGCAGTCCCGCCCTGTTTTACCCATAATTCAATTGTCCGACATGAGCGAGATGGAGGAATCAGAAGAACCTGTTGGCCCGCTGGATAGACAGTTTGAGTATAAAAAAAACAAAGACGGGACAATAAATAAACATTTGCTCACACTGCAAGAAGGACTTTTCGTTTCACCGAAGCACTTCGAGCCTTAAATATCATCTTAATGCCAATCATTCATTTGTTGGGGCTTCAACTTCAGCTGTTACGACTGGCAGGCGTCACACCACCCTCACTGAACGCAGGGCATTAAGTAACGGTCCGCTTTACGTTCAGAAAATGTTAACCAGTTAGTTTGCCTTAACAACTGGCTAAAAGATGAATAAATAATAGGTAAAATGACCTCATGTAATTGTTTAAAAGTCAAGCTGTTTGTTTTAAACGACAAAACGTTCCATTCACCCATCCTGTATTTGCTAAAAAAAAAAAGCAATGGCTAAGTTGCCAAAATTGTTGAGAATTAAATTCTTTTTTTGGGTTTGTCATTAATGAAAACTACCGTATTTTCACGACCATAAGGTGCACCGTACTAAAAGGCGCAGTCTCAGTTATGTGTGCCATTCCTGTATTTAACACACACATAAGGCGCACCGGACTATAGGGCGCGTTTTTTATATACAGGTACATGTCCTCTACTACCTTTAAATACCTCTACTGCGTATTTTAAAAATACAGCGGGCCCAAAACTGAGTATGACTGTGCTTTATTCATGTATTTATTACAAAGTATTAATCAAACCTGGGAGCTGGCCGTGAGACAGACACATCGCAGATGACACAGCGCTGTGATCACTCCTAAATTAACTTAAAATCCTGAAACCTGCCGACGGAATATGTTCGCTTTTATTGCCGGTATCCTGGTGCCTGCAGTTTAAATTATTTAGATGAAAAACACCTGCCAGCCGCCGCGGTGAGGCTGCTGTTGAAGGGATTTACTGTCGGTGCACCGCTGGTATGTGGGGGTCTGAGCGCCTCCGACAGAAATAGATAATCTGGATGAATTGACTGCAATTAAGTTTTCAGGTGGCCTTTCTCACTTAAAAACATATTAAAACTACTTTATTCCCCCTGATCACAGCAAATATAGCTGCAAGATTTAGATTATTTAGATGAAAAAACACCTGCCAGCCACCGCGGTGAAGAGGAGGAGACCCGGCCCAGAGGCTGCTGTTGAATTAAGTTTTCAGGTAGAAAAATAGAGCTGGAGCAAAACTGAGTATGATTGTGCTTTATTCATGTATTTATTACAAAGTATTAATCAAACCCATCAAAGTCATCATCCTCTGTTTCTGAATAAAACAGCTGCGCTAAATCAGACATGCCAGTTTCCCCTTCTTCGCTGTCAGTCACTTTCTGTGCAGCGGGGCTCCTCAGAAATAATGCCGGCTTTTGCAAAAGCTTGAAGAACAGTGCCAGCAGACACTTTAGTCCAAGCATCTACAATCCATCCGCTAACGGTGGCGTAACTTGCCCGGCGCTGCCTTCCACTTATCCTGAAACTGTGGTCTCCGTCTGTCATCCATCGCTCCCACGCCGCTCGCAGCCTTACTTTGAACGGCCGGTTCACACCGATTTCGAGCGGTGGAAGTTCCTTTGTCAGACCCCCGGGATAATGGCGAGCACAGCGTTCATTTGATTCACCTTTTTTTTTCACATCGGCTGTGAGATGGGCACGCAGCGATGGTGACGCGTGGAAAAAAGGACCTGGTCTCCTCACATACACCTGCCTTTCATCATCTCCAGCCTTTTTCATTTGCGTTAATGTCATCAGAGTGCTGTGTCTGTCTCGCTGTCAGCTCCCAGATCAGCTTCTCTGATTGGTTGATGCGGCGCGTCCAGCAGCAAAACTTCAATTTTTCCATCTCGAGCAGCAGCAGCGCGTCGGCGGTGCGTCAGATGCTTAAACGCTCCCGACGCGCTGCGCCTGCTGCTCAAAACGCGCTTTTTGCTGCACCTATACGCGCGTCAACCATTGACTTTGCATGTAAACTCGCTGCTTCTGCTGCACCTGCTGGGTCCGGTTCACACCGATGTCGAGCGGTTGAACAGCGAGCACAGGGTTAATTTGTTTCCCCATGTTCTTCACATCAGCTGTGAGATGGGCACGCATGGAGTCACAGATTAATGGTGATGAGTGGAAAAAAAACACCTGGTCTCCTTACATTCAGCCACTCTTTCATCATCTCCTCAATGAGGTGGTCTCAAAAGTCGCAGTTACAACACACATAAGGCGCACCGCACCAAAGGGCGCACCGCACATTTTGAGGGAAAAAAAAGACGTTTGAGTGCGCCTTATAGTCGTGAAAATACGGTAAATGTAATACCCATCTTGCTTATCTTTCTGTTTTGTGTATTTTTTCAATAATATTTAGGCTAATGATTAATCAAAATTAATTCAAGAAACCTTGTGATTAATTAGATAAAAAAAATTTAATCGTTTGACAGCCCTAGTAATCATTTTACTGAATATGTATTCCTGACATCTGAAAAAAACCCTTTTCCTTGTCAATATGACCATTTCGAACATAATAGCATTCTTCACATCTAGAATAAGCATTCTGGATGTCTAGAAATTTATTTCAGATCTCCATATTTCTATTGTTACTGCTCATCATTTATATTATTATTTATTTTCTGGAATTCAGTTTCTTCCTTAAAAAATATAATTTAGAAAGTATATTATAGTTCAGTCTAGGAGTACGATAGTAATCAAACAGAGAGGAGAGTTCCTTTAATAAATGTTATGTTCATATAAACTTATGATCCTTTGCCATCTTCCTCTGCTTTGCAGCTGTTTCTTTGTCTTTTAAACATTTCTCCATTTTGTTTTTCATTTCTTCAGTTCATTGGGGTGAAATAGGCACCTCCGGCTGCCTGTTGTCATGGTGCCTCGTGGAATCGGTGCTCCACTGATGATGGCTTTTCATACTTGTGGCACCCATGCTAAACTCTGAGTGGACCTACTTAGAGTTAATTGAACTAATTCATAGCAGCCACTGTGAAACAGGAAATTCAGAGTTCCTGACAATAGACTAGATAAAATTAGAATTGCGGATTTGAATCAGAGTTTGATAAACCTGCTTCGTGAAACGGACCCCAGATCTGGTTAAAGGTCTGATGCTGGAGGGTCAGATATTCTTCAAGACTCTATTCTGTTATTTTATTACTTTCATACAGCTTATCTAAAAAGGAGCCTAGTGACAGTCCTGCTGAGTGGGCAGTAATGAACCGGTTTGGGTGACAGTTTCTTGGCTGAATGTAAATAACAAAGGTCACATTAACTAGGTGTGGCAGGACTGGAGCAATATGGGCGTCCTTTCTCCACTCTTTCAACTACATCAACCATCTTCAGAAAGTAAAGAGAAGCATTATGGATCAATTTAAAAAGCAGTTTCATACTGAATCCAAACCTCTTTAGAAGGTCCACTCTGTGGCTGTGTGGCTGGCCCACATCTGGCCCGTACAGCCCGGCGTCCTGGTACAGTTTGGACTCTGACAGGATCTTCCTGAGGTGGCTGAAATCCAGTCCGAGCTGGTATCCGTCCACACGGATCCCAGCCTTCTTCTCGTAACTGTTGGGCTCTGTGGACAGATCAGAGCAGATACCATTAGGTGGGGGGGGGGGGGTGTCTGGGTTTTGCAGAAGGAAACAGCAGCATAGTCCTCTACAGAGAGAACTGCATGATGATACAGAAGAGAAACTCCTGTGGCAGAGGAGAAACCACAGGGTTTCGTTATTACTCCAACTTTACTGCAATGCAGTGGCGGCCGGCCCATAGGGGGCGCTGGGGCACCGCCCTCCCTGATAAGAAGAGAGAAACGTAAAATATATTTTTAGAAATTAACTCATAAATGTCAGTTTTACTCTCTAGACTGTGTACCTATAAGCAAAACAAATTATATAAACTACATTTCCCTATCTACTGTCATTAATTTGTGGATTTCCACAGACAGACTCCTACCGTCTCTGTTCTGGGGGCGCTGATCAGACTGACCCACATTTGCAGAGAATCTGTCAATCATGTACTATTGCTAGGTGAATTTAATGGCCAATCAGCGTCTCGGAACTTTATGGTATTGGGGCGCTGAAAATACTGCGCTTTAACAGGCTTCTGAACCCAAGCGCAGGTGCAGACAATTAGAGGGAAGATGGCGAATGTAACGAACGAGATGCAGCTTCCACCAAATTTGGTGAGATCCTTATTTATCTACCCGTTTGCCAGAAGAACATCCCTGTTGTAGGATATGAACATTTCATGTCATGGTTATTGTGACTGTGACGAATCCACCTCGTCGCTTAAAACAACCTCTCTAACTTTGCGCACCACACACACATTCCTGTTATACTGTGTTTGTGAGGACCAATACACTCGCGCTGAGACCAGTAGCTCCATGAACTTAAAACACACAAGCTGTTCCTGGTTACCTGCTGGCATATTGAGGGTGCACACTTAATATTTCAGTGGGGTTAGCCGTGTGTGTGTGTGTGTGTGGGGGGGGGGGGGGGGGGGGGGGGGGGGGGGGGGGGACGCAGCCAGACTGTCATCTTCAGTCTGGCTGCGTCATTGCTGGGTTCAAACCCAGTTTGGTGTAATTGAATAAGTCAATGAATCTGTGTAAAAGAATTAAGTTGTAAAAATTATTTGTTTTTGTACATCAATTGTTTGTGGAGGTAATATATGGACAAAACTGATTAATGAGAAGAAATCAGAAATAAGAGAGCCTGATGTGAGGGGCTTAAACTATTTAATGAGGGCTGTGGGAAGAAAAGCGGCAATTTTTGTTTTCTGTTTCTTTGTTACATTGCTGGTAACCGGAGGGAGGCTGAGGCCCAGAGTATCTTGTATGTTTAGTTTCTTTTGCACCCTGTTTTGAGTTTTTGAGCTCAATAAATCACCAACACCGGTAACCCGACTGAGACTGGATTCTTGGAGGCCAAAGAACCCCGTCACAGTGACCCAAATCATCACTGTTACTGTTATTATATAGTAAATTAAATCATTACTGTTAAATTGTATGTATTGTCCAATTGTTTATTTGAATTCTTATTCCGGATTAGTTGGAGACATACACTAGGCTATATCAGCCCCACCAAAAATATTTTTCACCAGCCGCCACTGCTGCAATGGTCTGTGAAAAGGGAAGAGAGAAAGAGGAAGTTCCTCTAAGGGGCCTATAAAGTCTTCAGAGCTCAGTTCAGTGCGGCGATAGAGCCTCCCATGGTGGCGGCCTTTAACAGCTCTCTGTGTTTCTGTCAGACAGACAAATCTTCAAAGATTTCTACACCTTTTCCAAGAACAACACCTCTAAACCCCTGACTTTATCCAATGACACAACATGCTTCTCTCCCCCACCCCCCACCATGAGTCTGCCACCATATCTAAGATGCGTACAGCTTTGCTGCATGACGCATGACGATGCTTCAATGCCGCTTTTTCTCATGCAGCTGCCCCTTCTTTCGTCACCCGTCTTCTCAAATCCCCAGTCAGCCTCAGTTCAAGGCCGCTCACACCGAGCCTGTTTCTGCTGGAGATGTCACCCTGTTTTCCTCTCCACCTTCACTGCATACATGTTCAGAGTGAGGGTGTCTGCTGCAGATTCAACGACAAGGAGCAAGCGAAGTTCTTTTTTCAGTGCACGCTCCTGCAGTCAATCACTCGATGCAACCAGCAGGCTATCAATAGATAGACTTCTTGCAGCCTTGGCGTAGGTTCAGGTCCTGCTCTGATTGTTGGAAGCTGTACCCAGGCTGGGGGTCATCTGGGCACAGCCCCCCTGGCAAGATTGAGTCACACTGGCTGGTTGGCTCTCTGCATGGTGGGGATGACGTGTTCTTTTGCCTCTGGGGGCTGATGGTCTGGGTTTTGGTCTGCCCCTTGGTGCCTTTCTCCTCCGGCAGAGGGAGGGGAACTGGGTGCCTATTGGAGTCAGTAGGGGAGCAGGCTCCCAAGGATAACCCTGTTCCCCAGATCTTTGCTCCCCATGTTTCCCTGCACCTGCTCTATCACACTACCACACACATAGGTTCTTGGGGAAGAGATCATAACAAGCGGACGTCATCCCATGGTGCAGGTGGCCTATGCTACTATTTTAATAAACCCCCTATTAAGAATAATTAATAACATCTCCAAGATATCCATATGTAGGGCATCGAGGTGGGCGTATTTGGGGTACTGGAGGTGGGTCAGGCTTTCCGGCTTTGCCTTCAATGCTGATGCCCCCCTGTGGTTGTTGTAATGCATTCAGACTGGGGCTGGGGTTGTGGTGGCGCCTGCGGTGCGGTAGGCCCATACTTGGCCTAAGGAGGTGAACTACCTGCGAATGCCTGGATCAGAGAGGACCAAACTGATGTGTCAAAGACATGGCATGGCTTTGACTGCGTGAGTCAGGGTGGGTTCTTCAGCGGGTTGGATACCTGCTCTGGTGTATGTCGGGGCGGATGTGCGGTTTATGGGTGACCGCTAAGGGGAGTTGTGCCTCCTGTGTGTGGGCCTGGGGTGGTGTTTGGGGCTAGTCCTTGGCTACATTGCTCTCCACCCTATGGCGGTGCCTGGTCCCTTCCCAGACTAGGGAGTCGGGGTATCCCCTTTGGGGTCAGTGGGCCTGTTCCCCGGTTTTCCTCAGTTTGTCCTTAAACACCTAGAGGAAGTACCGATCGCTAACTCTGGACAATTCCTCGTTACCTACGGCAGTATCACATTCCAATAAACGGTTTAAAATGTCTCAAGTTGTTTTCTGTTGTCTAGTCACTACAGAATAATCTGGCCAAAAATGGAGCCATCAGCAGATCAACAGTGGCGTGCGGAGAATTCTATCAATGGTAAATGGCATGTACTTATATAGCGCCTTTATTCAAGTCAGGAGACTTGACCAAAGCGCTTTACACTACATTCATTCCCTCATTCACTCACACGCTGATGGTGGCAAGCTACATTGTAGCCACAGCTGCCCTGGGGCTCACTGACAGAAGCGGGGCTGCGGTAGACTGGCGCCACCAGGCCTTCTGACTACCATCAGTAGACAATGCAGGTGAAGTGTCTTGCCCAAGGACACAACGACACTGAAAGTCGGAGTCGCGGCTTGAACCGTCAACCCTTCGATTTCAGGGCAAACTCCTACAGCCAACGCCACTGTATCAATAACCTATAATAAGCAAACAAGCTCAATCTGGCTCCTCATTTCCGCATTTGTCAGTTCGCGTCACTGCCCCGACTTTCCTGCTTATGATACCAGAAAGCCTCAGTTGTTGCCACCAGAAGTGTTTTGAGGTGATCCTGATGAGTGCCAAGCTTTTCTGAATCTCTGTGAGATCCATTTTGTCCAAACTAGGGGGTGCTGCGCCCCCCGGACCACGGGCCCTCATCTGGATCCACTTTTGTGTGTGAATAGAAACCCCAATGGTATTTAAATATAGAATACAACAAGTGCTGGTATAACCAAGAGAAAGATTAACATTATGGTGAATCCCAGTTAAAAAAAACAACCATCCTCTGCTCTATGACCACAGCGCCGCCACATTTGTCCTGTTAGCTCTCAGCGCTTCATTTGACCAAGTTTTTTTTTCTCCCACACTGTTTACATTTGATCACTGCTGAACTTTAAGAAATGGAAATGTCATGAGAGCTGTGAAAAACGAAATTTAATTTTATATACACCCTGTGTATACAAAATGACAATAAAAAATGTCTAATTCACGGTGGATCATAATATTCATTTAGAAAGATTTGAATATTTTTTGTTGGAATTAAAGGAACAGCTCTAGACTGGTTTAAATCTTATCTATCTGATCGAATTGAGTTTGTTCATGTTAATGACAAATATTCCTCATGCTCAAAGGTTACCTGTGGAGTACCACAGGGATCAGTGCTAGGACCAATTCTCTTTACTTTATACATGCTCCTAATTGGTAGAATTATTAGACAGCATGGGATTAATTTCCACTGTTATGCTGATGATACCCAGCTATATCTGTCTATAAATCCAGATGAAGCTAACCCATTACATAGATTACAGGCATGTCTGAAGACATAAAAACCTGGATGACTCTTAACTTTCTGGTTCTGAATGCAGACAAAACAGAAGTTATAGTCTTTGGACCAGAGTCTCTGAAAAAGAAGCTGATTAGCCAGTCACTTCATTTGGATGGGATTAAACTGATTTCAGATAATAAAGTAAAAAACTTGGTGTTATTTTTGATCAGGACCTGTCATTTAAATCCCATATCAAAGAGGTTTCTAGAATTTCCTTCTTTCATCTAAAGAATATTGCAAAAATGAGAAATCTCCTGTCCAGGGGTGATGCTGAGAAACTAGTCCATGCATTTGTTACTTCAAGGCTGGACTATTGTAATCCTTTACTATCAGGAAGTCCACAAACTGTAGTTAAAAGCCTTCAGCTGATCCAAAATGCTGCAGCCAGAGTTCTAATGAAAATTAAAAAGAGAGATCATATCTCTCCTATCCTGGCTTCTCTTCATTGGCTTCCTGTTAAATCCAGAATAGAATTTAAAATCCTCCTTCTCACATATAAAGCCTTAAATGGCCAAGCTCCATCTGATATCAGAGATCTGATTGTTCCTTATG